GTCACAAGGATTGTAGGGGGCTATGCAGGCAATGAGAAGGTGTCACATTTTGATGGAGTTTTAATTTTTCTAGTTCATGTCTTGTGCACAGGCTTTTTCCTTCCCCCCTCCTTTCCCATCCTCTTCCCTCTACAGTCTAGCCTTTGTTTAATGCTGACTGTCTAAACGCTAGAGAAAATGGATGTTTAACATCACTGTTTACATGGGGCCTGGTTTCTGTGTGCTTTCAGAGCCCTCTTGTGTTTCCCATACATGTATCTTATCCAAGGCTGGCAAAAGTGGGAGTCTTGCTCAGCAAGTCTCAGTCTAGAGGAACTTCTCTTTGAATTCCTTTCTTTTCAGTATCTTTGCTGGCAGCCCTTGTTACACTTTTGGGGTGAGGCTGCTTTAAACTGGCTAGTAGGAAATGGTGTTTCAAGAAGCTGCCCCTCAAAATTCAGCCATGGTCCTGAATTCTGCTGACTTGGGGGAAAAAGTTCCTTTTGAATTATTATCCTGAAGCCAATTGCTGTAGCCAAGGAAAGTTGGAACTGATAAACTACCTGGTGTTGAGCAGTCCTGGTGGACAAGTGCATGCAGAGAGGGAGTCTGCAAAGAAGTCCAGTGATCAGAGAAACTGGAAATTGGTGATGGAGCCATTGGAGAGAGTAGTAATCCTTTCTCTTTGAGCAGGCACAAGCTGGAAGGCCCAGGACCACTTCATTTGTGCCCTAAGCTGACAGCTCAGGGACAGCACTTTGAAATGTAGAGGTAATGAATGTTTGTATGGCCTTTCTTATTGGACCACTGAGCAGGACAATGGGAACCAAACTCTCATTGTGTCATACCAGACTAGGTTTGCAGTTAGTCCTTTAGCTCTTGGGTTCCTCTCATCAGTGAAATGTAAATGTTTACCTGCCGATGCTCCTTGTGTTCTTGCTTGAAACTGAACCATGCAAGTTGAGTAACCACCATGTAAGTTGTACAATTGGGTTGTAGCCGGCAGCTCACAATTGCAGTAATAGGGCATGCCCTATGCTTTGCCTTTGATTAGATGCCATTGTAGACACTTGACCTTTTTTGCAAGGCTTTGGGTTTTGTTTTGTTTTTTTCCTTAAATTTGGTGGGGGTTGTATGTGGGGAGGGGGGAAACTCCAAGTGCTGTTTGAGAGTAGCCTTTATATGTTTCCCAGACTTTCAAACAATGAACCTTGAGGCCTGAATTAGATTCAACATTTTTTCAACAGATGTTCACGTCCAGCTGGCCATTAGTACTGTCAGGCAACCTGCTTAATGCCCACCTGGGGCAATACAGACTAGAGGCTGAAGAACACCCCCATTTATTTACTCGAGTATCCTTCGTCTGTGATGGAGGCAATATTGATTTCTGCAAACTAATAGCAATGTCTTTCTCCATAGCAGCTGTCAAGTACAAAATGAATGGGGTGGAGGAGGGGTGCTTTATAACTCTTCCATTCTAAGCCACTTTTGTTTGTGCCTCTTCTCCTGTAATGCAAGAAAAATTGTGGGTGGTGATGTTTTAGCAGATCACCTGGAGAATAGTTGACTTACAAAATGGAGCAATGTTTCAGATTTCTAGCTGACATCAGACCTGGGACATGTTTTTAACTAGGGTAGTCTATGCCAGTCTTAGGCTGAATCCACTGTCTGCTCACTTCTACGTAAGGTCACCTCAGCCTAGAGATGACCTCCAACAGGGCAACATAGCACCGCAGTGCTTGTGTGGCTCCTGCCTGGGCTGAGACTATTTTTGTGGCTACCTGGAGAGATCTCCGCTTTGGTGCCATGAATCATGCTTTTGTAACAAACACTACATTGGCTTCATTCACTTTTTAAAGGACACTACATTGTTTTACACAAACGAGAATGAGAAGCCAAAATATTTGGAGCCAGGGTACCCCATGAACCAATCAGGTGGTACCTCTGTTTGCTCACACTACCGAGTCAGACAGCTGGGCCTCGACTATGAATTGCCTGACTGTCTCTTTTTTTAAAGGGTATCCTAAACACAGTGTTTAGGTTTGTCTGCATGTTGACATGCCTGCCTTTCCGTGGGAAGGGGGGGAGGTACTGGATGACTCCAGTGCCAGGAGATCTAGGGCTGCTTTGGTATATTCTGTAAATTGCTATAGTTTCCTTCTTGGCATACGTCCACATTCATCTCTTCTGGCCAACGTGAAGATGGGCTTTTTGGTGAAATGCCAAAGTACATGAAGGAAGGGGGCGGGGGGTGGAGGGGAAAGGGACTCCTAGTTTCTAAACAGATCCCAAATGCTGCTGTGTTAAGGCTGATTGTACTGAACAAACACAAGCCCGCAGCGGTGACTCTGAGCTCGGGTGACTGACTCCTGGGAGCTTTTTGGCTGTGTGTTACAGCAACGAGTTGGAACTTCTCTGCCTGCCTGCTTCTCCATTCGAAAGATCCTCTTCAGCTATTCTTCATTGTGCTATAGATACCTAATCCCTTGATATGTGGTCTGCAAGCCTTTGACAGGCAGCATGTCTTACACCAGTTTAAAACCTTGAAGAAAGGTTATTTAGGGTTTGATGCATAAACAGAGATTGCCAGATGAGTGAGACACGTGGTATGGGAGAAGGGTGACTGCTTCCGGTAACTAAGACCTGGGAGGGGAGTTGCTCACTCAGAATGACTTTGCTGTCTCTTAGTATTTCTGCCCAGTAATTGCTTCAGTCAGACCATGCTTCATGGTAAGCTGCTGGGCAAGTGGCTTTAGACAATAGTGCGAGGATGATCTCTCAGCAGACCACAGGACTTCAGTAGGCACTGCAGTAAATTCTTTGCAAGTTGTGTGCGTGAGCATGTTCAAACTTGCATTTGCCTCGTAGCCTTTACAGTCTATGGGATAAAGAGCATTTTTGCAAATGAGCATGTTGCATTATTTGAATTTGCCCAATGGACTAGAAGAGCTAATACACCTTTTTATTAATTAAACTAAATATCTGCTAAACGGTATCTCCAAAGACTACGCTTAACACAAACAGCCAATTTCTATCATTTGTTTGACAAGCTGACTTTTTTTAATATGGTTTGATACATGTGAAAATGAACTGACAAAACGCTAGTTAATCTTGTGACACAATCACGTAGCCAGGAAATCAATGCAAAGTATTATCTTCTACTCTGCAGTTAACTTAATTGCAGTGCCTATGCATTGTAGCACACATCCTATGCAATGCCATGCAACTCTAAACTAGCTCACTGCTCGCTGCCTTGGGCAAGAAAGGCCTTAGCCTTAATTTCTAACACCTTGTACATACTTAAAAGACAGTGACAAACTAAAATGAGTTAAGGTGAAAATTGCATAATGTAAAAGCACAGTGTCAGACTGCCCATTGAAGTGTCTTTTATAAAGCACCAAAACAGCATCCACAACAGAAGCAGCCTATTTGCTGTGATAGTCTCAATTTTATGAAAACTGTGTACTAGATAAAATTTATATTGTGATGTGTACAAAGTGTATTTTATAGCTTTGGTGAATTAGTTTACTGTTTTGTATATATGAATTTTATAAATCTATTAAAACTTGACTTGTTATACTGTTCAGGATGGCCTGCCGTATCCTTCAACCATGTCTTAAATGGGATACTTTTATTTTGGGAAAACTTTCTACCTGAGAGGAGAAAATCTGAGCTTTGAGTGAGTAACGTACGAGCCACATGAGGCTGGGTTGTCATGCAACAAGACCTGGGGTGAAGGAGTGCACGTTCTGTAACCTTTCTGGGTTCCTTGCCTCGTCCTCAGTCCAGGAATGAGCCTTTGAGCACGGTGCAAGGAGGGACTTTTGGTGAACTGCTCTCCTATCTAGAGCTCAGTTCAAGCTCACTCTGATTCTGGCAAATTCTAGTAGCTGGTATAGGTATTAAAGCTAATGGGGATACAGCTAGAAGCAGTTGTGCTCATGGATTTTTAAGCTCAAGCAAGAAAGATTTTGAGCTAGTTTGGCTGACAGCACCTGCTAAAAGTAATTCCTCCCCCCCCCCGCTGATTTAGCTTCCAGTAAGAGTAGTCTGACCTTCATCTATGCCCTCGTCTGGGTGGTGTTTCTCTCCTGTCAGCCTCGCTTGCTTTTTATCACCAGTGTAGAAGTGTTGACCCCAGGATGATCTAACTGGTCCCTTCCTGCAGTATTGCAATCTTAGCACCAGCTGATTCTATTAGCATTGTTCTTAACTGTTGTACCTTTAACCTTTCATCTCTTGTGCTTTGAGAGGTGACATGTCTGTTGCAAGTCCTTTGAATTGACATTACATTGTTGATTACTTTGACCTGGGCAATCATGCACAGTTTTAACCACTTCACCAAGAAGTCTCAGCCATTTTGGCAAGCAGCTGAGAGGTTGGTTGCCTCTGATTTGGTATCTAAAATCTCTCTTCACTGATGTTAATTTGCTTGATTTACTTTTAAAGAAGTTTTAAGCACCTGCACCTTCTTTGGGCACTGTGGATGCCAGACACCCCAAAAATCAGTTCAGTTCTGAGCCAGAAAGAAGATACAGACACCTGAGTGGTGCAACCCAACTTTGACCTTTCATCTGTGCCCTAACTAGTGTGCAGATAAGCATGTGGAAATGCTCTGTTGATCAAACCCAGCAAGGCAGATGAACAACTAGGACCAAAAATATGTTTGTGACTTCCCACTCCCATTAGGTGATACGTTAAACAAGCAGGATGGGCTTCCTACTCGAATGTGAAGGAAAAGTGCTTCCTTGTGAGAGTGCTGAAATCTGTATTATTTGGAGCAATTTATAGAATAGTGGGGAACTCAAACAAAGGGCAGTCAATTGATTTCCACCCCCACCTCTGCCAAAAAATAAAGATACTTTGCTGCCTTTCCCTGGCAAAGTAATCCCATTGACTCAGCTGTCCTAAATATGCTTTCATACTGTTTTTAATGCTTCCCTCAAGCTACTGTTTGTTCAGCAGGACAGGACACATCCCTCTCTACATCTCTGCCTTTCTTGCACTAGTTGCTGAAATTCACCCACACACATGGGACTATAAAGCATGAAGCTGCCTGTTCTACAGCTGGTAAAATTGTCTGTGCAATGTTGATTCCTCCCTTGGTCATTGAAGGGAGAGAGAGAGGCCTAAGCTTGGTCTTGCTTCCAGTTAGTCTAACTTGACAGAGAGGATTGCTCATTACTGCTTTTGCAGACTGGGAGTCCAAGGCTCTGAAAACAGTCCCTGTGCATGAGCTCACCCAAGCTGATTTAGTTGTACAGCACTCTTGAGGAAGCTGCATTTTGGGTCCCACCTGTGCAAAGTTGAGTAAGGCCCCTTGGACATGATGCAAGTGGACTAATGACTGTGCAAATCCAGAACAGTGGTGTAGTATTCTTCTCTCCACTCAGATTCTGAGTGCGCTAAAAGCACCCACTATCTTACCTGTTTTCCTTGCCTGTGTTTGCTGTTGGGAGTTTCTCTAGCATCGCTCCCATGAAGGAAATGGGTTGGTAATCACCATTTATTGTCAGTCTCTCCCTAGTCAGGAAGGCAAGACATTCCCTTCACTCTGTGCCTGCTGAGAAGATGGGCACACTGGCTTTCAAGGGTGGCAGAGAGGGGCTGCCAGCCAGAAGGCCTGTTAGGAGCTGGAATGCGCAGCCCCATCCAGACTGCCTGTATCTGGATGCCTCCTGATCCTTGGGGAGACGCAAGAGGGCCCCTTCTTGGGGCAGACCTGGAGCAGTGGCCTGCAGACTGTGCCACAAGCATACTTCATAGTGCATGTGGCCTTACTCCTAACTGGGCATGACTGGCTCCAAACATCCGGTCTTGCCCCCAAGTTTGAGTGCCCCACAGTTCACACACAGTAGACAAGTGGAGCTGTGCTATTGCAAGGGGTAAAATTCTACCTTGTTACTTATGTCCTTTAAACGTTTATTGTTTCCTTCTTGGCTGCGTAGGTCTCATGTGCAGCAATTAGGAGCTAGACAGCAGGCAAGGGAGCTGCTGACACCAAAAGAAGCAAAGTTCTGCTTTGATGCAGCTGAGGACACTGCTGCCCTCCTGCCAGTGCTTCACATGGCTGTGTCTGAACCCTGTACCGCTGTCCCCCCTTGCCCCCTGTCCCCTGCACCAAAGCTCATCTCCTGGGGATTGCAGGCCACCCCAGTTTACTGACTGCTTTCCTTGAGGGAGATGCTGAGGAACTGAATGACCTGGAGAGTTCTCAGTCATTAGTTACCACTGCTTCTGCTGGTGCAGCTCTGCAGTGTACATCCTGCACCAAGGGCTCCCCAAATCGGGGTGAAGTACTGTCTAGTACAGGAAGCCTAGGTGCTGCAGCGCAGTATGTACAGATGATGCAGTTGTATGCGTTACCCCATGTAGCAGTCCATGGCTTCACCAGGGCTTGTGACTGCTCTTGGCTGACAGCCCATGGTATTAAGCTACTTTTGCACTGATTTATGGGTCCTTCAAATTAACCTTCTAAAAACAAACCTGAAGGCCGCCTCTTGTGCCCTGCCTATTAGCAGCTAATCACTGTGGCCGGTGTTTTTATTGGTGAACTCTCCTTTACAGCAATGTCTCGCAGCAAGGTTAATCAAATCTTAACCGCTTAACTGCAGTGGGTGCTGTTTAAAAGGGAAGACTAACTCTTTACAGGGACACCTTCATCTGATGTTGATAATTGCTTGCTTCCCTCTGAGAATTGTCAGGTTTGCTCTCCCAGCAGTGGCGCTCCTCCCCTCCAGAGCTTGGATACATGCAGAGAGGTGGGAATGGTATCTGCCCTGATTCTGGGTCTGACACACTATCTACAAAACCTTTGGCCAGGCACTTTTCTCCTATGTGAATGTTTCCCAATTGTTAACATGGACAACAATATACTGACAGTGTGCTAAACTGGATGTCACTTATTCTGCCCCTTTCATGCCCATCACCTACCTTGAGCAGAACTTGGTGGCTGCTGGCTCTGGTCACCTGTACATCCTGATTCCACGAGCCAGACCTGGGCTGTGCAGCATTTGGTTAAGCTGTTTCACAATTCATGTAGTATCTAATATTAACTGGCCACTTATCTGACTGGGGATGAAAGACTGTGTGGCCTGATGAAGAGGACTTTGTGGGAAACCTCTTTGCAGGTGCTAAGTGTAGCCTGATGCACAAGAAACCTGCACACCAGGATTGTACAAACTATCTCACAACTGTCTGAGAGCTTAGAAGAGTAGTCATCCTTTTATGTGTCCTTCCCTGAAGTGCCGTCCCATCCTGGATCCTGCCCAGGTGTGTGAAGCTCCAAGTTCCACTGCAGCCTCCGTCCTTTTCTGGACTGGCCCTAGACTCTGAACTGGTAAGTGGGTGACTATTGATTATAATGTTGCAAGCATGTCAGGAGTTTGGGAGCTGAGCTATTCAAAGGAAGTGTCTGCTTTTATGGTATAACTGTCTAACAAAAAGCTATATATAAGCTAAATCGGCTACAGCCACATTTCCCTGCCCCCTCCCCCCCTTAATGTTTGGCTTCAAAGTAGTGAGTGGGAATAGCCCTGCATTTCCTCTGTCACTTCCTACAAGGGAGACTTCCATGTCAATCAGATGTTTAAAAGCACATCTCTGCTTTAGCTAGCCACCCCTCTCCTGTGTTCCCTCTGCAATTTAATCACAGCTGAAGGCTGCCGCCTCCCTCTTCCTTTTCGGTTCTATAGCAATGCCATCATCTTGAGTTCATGATCTTTCTGCGAACTGCCTTACATTTAGCCCTATGACTTCACTGGAGGAGCAAGCAAGAATGAACAGGCTGGAAAACGAGTCAGCTCATGTTTAAAATAGTAACAGTGCTTTAAAAAGGATGAGAACAGGATGTGGACAGCAACTGGGTTTATCGTCCATGTAGGATTTGTTCAAAAGCCTCAGTAGGTCTGAAAAAGCTGAGAGATGAAAAGCAAGTGTTAACCAGTGATTCGGGTTTACGGAGCCGGCAGGGGGCGGCAGCAGCCGCTTTCCCCTAACATGGATTCCAGATGCAGGGGCTGTGGGAGGGGAGAGGGCGGGAACGTTTCCAGTCACTGACTTCATTAGTCTTGTAGAAGTCGGCCCCCTTTTCCTCTTTCTGTGAACCATGCTGACTTTAATTTGTTCGTTAGACATCTGCCCTTCATCAAGCTTCTCTTGGAAAAGCCACCCTGGCTTCTCCAGTCACCTGCATGAGCAAGCTGTCTCACCGCGCTCTTCCACAAAGTGCAATCCTTGGTTTTTGCAGTTTTCAGCTGCATGGAGAAAGCTGGGGCCTGTATTTTGGTACCCTCATTAAAGCCCAAAATTTCAGCTGGGAGAAGGGGGGAGTCTCATGACTCAGTTTGACCTGCTTGCTTGTCTTGGGCAGCGGGACACTAAATAGATTTTTTGGATCTAAAATTACTAAGTCTGGCCACCAAGAGTAAGTTGATGACTGCATTATCAGTGCCAGAATTCAGAAGGAAACCATGATGGAGAGGGCCAGCCCCTGCTCTTACAAGGCTTGAAAAACTGTCAGCCTCACAAGCAGCCAGCTATAAATAGCTGGAGAGTTGCTATCAACTGAAAGGCAGGTTCTGCAGTGTTTTCCTATTAATAAATGCACTCATATCAGACTTGGGGACCTTGGCCAGAGAGGAAGAAGCTGGTGTGTCAGCTGCTGGAAGCAAAGTCCCTGCACGCAAAAGTAACCAGTGACTGTTAGGAATTTCTCTCTGTGCCAATGCTCAGAGGATAAGAGTTGTTACAGCTCATGGCTACAATCTTGGCTGTACTGGCTCCTAGAGATCCCCTGTGTGTCATCCAAGTGGCAGTCAACATAAAGCCGTTTGTGATGGATAAGCAGTGGCGGTTTTTACTTATTGCTGTACCCAGTGCCCATTACCATCTGACTTCCCAGACCCTGCTTGCTGCTGTCTACCTGGACTCTATGGGTCTGTGGTTAGAAAGCCTCAGCTCTGCTCCTACAACCTCTGGACCAGAGATCTGGCTGGAAATGGACACTTGGCATTACATGAGATGAAAAATCATGGCCATGTTTGTATGGCTCAAGCTTTCAGTAGATTGGCGCTTTCCTTACATCGGAGTTTTGCATTGGCTTAACCTTCTCCTTTTTTTCCCCTCAACTGGTGTAAACCTTTACATGAATGTGTTTTAAGCTGCTTTTAACTTAAACCTGTTCCAAGCCACTGTAAGCCAGACTGAAGTAGGAGCATCCACATGGGACTTGTCATAGGTTTGGATTGATACTTTACATTAAGCCAGTGTTACTCTCTCATTCAGACAAGCTCTTAGAGATGGAGATAGACTGACTGAACTCCACATTAGGGGAAAAAGAAACACTTCATTCTGGTGGGATGTAACTTCTGGTGGGAAAGATCTGATGCAGGGTAATAACAGAACAAAACTTAAATCAGGCTGCCTTTTCCCAGCCAGAAGGACAGTGAGAGATGGACACACAAGTCAGGCCACTGCTAGTTTTCTTCCCATCTCCAGCGATGAGGGGAGGATTCCCCCTTCGGCAGTCTTCTGGAGCTCAGCTTCCTCCGCAAGGATGAGAATTTGTCTCCGAGGACTTTCCTTAACCCTACACTGCCCCTGGTGAAGGGCAAGTCCTTCATGGTGGGGAGCTGCCCTGTAAACATTTCCCACCTGGCAAAAGCATCCACAGCTTGGTCCACCTGGGCCAGTTCCTCCTCAGAGACATTCCTCTCCAAGGCAGCAATGCACATTTCCAGCCACAACTCGTACTCCTTGATGATGTCTGTGGTCTTGGTAGTGCCATCCAGCTCCTGCTCGCTGTGCGTGTCGGCCAGAGAACACAACTGCTCATCGTGCTCCAGCTCCTGCCCGATGGAGAGAGCCTGGCTGCATGTGTCTGGGGTTAGGGGCTCGGACAGGGAAGTGACTGCTTCGGAGTCATTCTCGCAGCACATCCCCGAGTCCGAGCTGAATGGCAGGAGGTCCTCGGAGGCCGACAGGTCTGTTGGCTCCTGACTGGCCCAGGCTGACAGTACAGTTTGTGTCCAAGCATACAGTTTCTGTGGAGACAGGAGAAAGGTTTCATTTTGGAGAATGAGAGAAAACTTGGCACAACGGCAAACACCAGGGGGCCGGGATATTCAAAGGGCCCATTCAGAATTGAGACCCAAATGGCTCAGGTTTTCGGGAAGTACTGAACACTTCATCTCTGAAAAGAGACTCCCTTTTCAGATGGTACAAGGCGGGTGCCTACAGCCAGAAGCACCCTTAACAGTCCCGGTGGTGCAGCGGAGAGAGAGAAGAGCAGAGCTGCAAACTGAACTCTTTGGGAGGGACTGGGTGTGAAAGATGCATCTGCACCTTGGCAGCCTGCAAAGCCCCCGCCCAGTCCCTGCCCTGATGGTTAAACGAGGAGGCCAGGGCTGGACCGCTCCTGAGCAGTTGGTGCTCGTTTGCACACCTCTGCAGGCCTTTAATCGGGGTAAAAGCAACAAACCAACCCGTGCCCCTCTAGAGGAAGCGATACGAATATTCAATGCTCCTGAGAAAAAGTGTGAAGAATCTCATTTCAGCAGCCTATTAAATCCTGTTTTAACATGCAGTTTTGTTCCTCATCTCTCTCACTGGAATATGCATGAGGAAAAGCTGGGCTCCAGGAAAGAAGTCATGGAAAGCGAAATGCCCGAGATGATTCCCTGTTTAAACATTTAAACGCTGCAAACAACGTGGCAAACAACGAATTGCTCCTGGCACACTGATTCCTTAGGCGGCTGGGAATGAAGTGTAGCAACTGACAGTCACCACTTGATAACAATCTCCTTATGTGGTGCATTGCTATGTGTGGGGTGCTCTTTTGCTTGGCTTTCCACATCCCCGCGCCCACCTTCTTACATACCAGTGCCTTTTATCTTTACATTTCCTGTTACTCCACAGCTGGTGTCTTTGCAAAGTTGTACAATTGCTCAAGGACTCCCAGTGGAGACACCCAGGACATACGAGCACACGGCGCAGCCCCTAAGGCGGGCTCAGGGTGGGACCGCACTGTGCTCCCCTGGCAGGATTTGTGCCGGGCTTGTTCCAGCAGAGGGCACCAGTGCCACGCTCTGGCTAAGCCTCCGAGCTCTGCCGGCAATTTGCAGAGCTGCCTTTCCCCCAGTTTTCCTTTCTTCCTGTTCTTCCCTCCCCCTGTTGTCTCCTTACTGCAGGCCAGTGATATAAAGAGACTGGGTTGAGTGTTCGGGAGAAGGCTGCCATGTTTCCCGTTTCAGTCTGAGAGCAAAGCCTTGGAGAAGAGTTTTGTACAGGGAAGAAATTGTCCCTTTGAGCTCAGGTGTATCTGAACAGCTGAGATCTCTTGCTGTTTTTCTTGGCCAGAAGGAAAGACTTCCCTTCCTGCCTTGATGCGGTGCCTTGTATGATTAAAGCCAGCCCTATCCTCCTCCATACACAGGCGCACATATCAGCTAGTGTGGCAGGGGCCAGAGCAGGGGGTGATGACAGTGAGGCTGCCTGAGAGCTGCAGCTATGCTAAGGATTTTATAACTGCTCTTTAAAATACAGCACATCAGTGAAACTCCAGAAAAACCAAAACTGCTGCCTGGCCCAAGCCACAATGCTTGAGGGAAGCACGAGTCCAAGCAAAAGTGAGCTGAGGCCAGGACATCCAGACACACAAGGCTGTTTTTTTTCCCAGTCTAGAGGGATAGCTGTCTCCAAAATCACTGTTATAGAGCAGAATCCTTTCCAGTCTCTCTGTCTGCAGGGTTTCTTTTACTTTGTGGTGGTAGATCTGGCTGTGTGTTTTGTGCCTAACCAGACAGGGGAGCCTCTGCACACACTTGTTACTCCAAAATGAATGGTTGTGGTGAAGCAGCAGGGACCTGGCCTGCTCAATATACTGTTGAGCATGGCATCAAGCCTGCTATTTGACACTAGGGGCCAGTGGGCTGTAGCGGAGGGTGATCCTGCCCTTGCCCACATCTGTTAAACCCCTGGGTGAGTTTGACATGGTTATAAGTGAGGATTTCCTCTATGCAGTCACGTAGAACAGAGCAATTTGCAAAGGGCAAGGAGAATAAATCTCTAGGGTAAGGGATTGAGCTAGGCTAAATTGAGAAACTAAATGGAACTAATGCTGTTGAGAAGACAAGCCTGGGTCCCTTTCCAGTTGCTCTCCTCACTGCTGCCTTGAAGAAAAATACTACAAACAAATCAAGGTCAGAGATGCAGGATATGCCAATACTGTAAGGGGAACAGATTGCATTATGTGCCTGTGGATTTTTTTGCTCTAAGTTGCAAGATAAACTAAACCCTAGAACAAGAGGCTCTTAATTGCCTGATGTCTAAATAACTCAGAGTTATGAGGGCAGCTCAGATTAATTGCAGTGTTCATCCTCTTACAGAAAGATTATCTTCCTCCTCTGGGTGCCCTGCCCGTAACCTGCGCTACAGTCATTAACCTTGGCAGCATTGTCTGCTCCAGGCGGGAGAGCAGCTTTGTGCCTGGCATTCCCCAGATCTATTACTCGGGACCTGAGCCATTATGTGATTTAGGCAGGTTGGTTCCTCTCCAACTGGAAGAACCAATAGCAAAAAGTAAGGCTGACTCCAGATGCCTGGTGCTGATTTGCTGTGGCCTCGCAAAATGAGTTTTGCCAGCAGCTTGGCTTTCTGAACAGATTTTGCTTCCAAACACTCTTTGCCCTCTCCTATTTCATCTGCCTTTCTAGGCGTTCTAGATTTTTATGCAGCCTGCATCAAGGTAGTACCTAAGCCTCTTAGAGAGTTGAGTACAACTATAATACATAGCCTGTACCTAGTCTAGTTATTGTCTTATGGGCTCAGAGGTAATCATGATGCATGGTGGTGAGGGTTGTCTCTTCTCTTTGATGCAGCTTTTGCTGTGGCATTGGGGAGGCTGAACTAATCACAATATTCACTGCAGTGAAACAGGTGTTGAAGAAAGCCATTTATAGAAACATTAATTGAGCAATTCTTGAAAAGGAGTAACTGCATTGCAGCTCTTGTCCCCTTGACTTGTAAAAAATTGAAGCCTAGTGCTACTGGGTGTGAGGATCTCTCAGTTTTAGATCCAGACAGTTGATCTAGAAGATGAGGCTGGTGGGCTGCTCCTCACAGCGACAAGCAGTACAACCAGGTGTAGTGTGTTCTGCCTCCACTTGCAATGAAAACTGTTTTCTGTATGAAATAGGTCTTCCTTCCAAACTGAACAAACAAGAACTAAGGAAAAGAACTTAGAAACCCCCCTGGAATTGCACAGCTAACTACAGACATGGTGAAAACACAATGCATGGAATTGAAAATGGGCAGTTCTGGAAAACTCGGTCTCTGAACATGATGCATGTCCTTTGGAGAGAACAGAATCAAAACCAAGATGGGCGGATTGCAAGAATTGCAGTGTTTCTTCTCAGCGCTATTGAGTCTAGCTGTTTAGCCACTAGTGGCAGGTAGCATTAGCAGTCATTAATACTGGAATGACCTATGAGTGATGTCTAAAGGTAGTTGTGCTAGGAGGGGTTGCTTTAAGACAAAATCATGTTGTCCCATAGCAGAGGACTGGATCCAGGAGCTTTCACATTCTGACTACATCTCTGACCTTGGCTCTGCCTCCTTCTCATTAGTGCAATAGGGATAGCAGTTACCACCTTAGTGTTGGTGCACAGCTCTGGAGGCTGTCTACAAAGCGCAAAGTATTAGTCACAGTTTGTCATGTTATGCCCCCTCTCCCATGGTAACTCACACTGACACCTGGGGCTGAGCTGTGTGTATTTTTAGGCCTGTCTTTCCTATAACATGTTCACAGGATGCTGATTCAGGGATAGACTACCAAGGTACTGGACTTCCTTCTTCACCCCAGTGCCCTAAATGCAGTTGTAGCAGTCTGTCTCTCACCCGGTAGCGCTCGACGAGTTTGAAGCCCACGACATACTGCAGTTTCCTAAGGCAGATGGGACAGGGCTCCAGGGGCCTTAGAAGTGCTTCGTCCAAACTCAGCACGCCTTGCATGATGCACTGCAGCCACCTGCAGTTCCCCAGGCCAATCAGGTGGCAGATCTCATGGCACGTGACCTTCCAGGAAAGCAAAAATCACAGAAGAAGAGGGTTACTCCAGGCTCCAGCCCCCACCACAACCTCCCTTCTCTCTGCCTTTCCACATCTGGAGGGAAAGAGGAATCCAAGCTCCTTGTCAACTCAACTACAGGCTCCCTCCAGGCTGCTCTGCTAGTGGCCCTGAGTGAGCCTAGTTCCCAGATTTCCAGTCTATCCCAACACGCAGACTCTGCTTCTACAGAACGGGGTTTGGATATTGTTTTTGTAAGCAACTCGGGTTGGTGGGGGGAGCGCGCTTTTGGTGGCACACCGTCATAGATCAGAAACACTAGATAGCCACCTGAAAATGCTCTAGCCACCCAATGTAGCTGCCCTCCTCTCCCAGTCAGAGATCCAGTGGGGACTGGCAAAGCATTGCAGGAAAGACTGAGCAGTCAGCAGGGAATGCAGAGAAGTATGAAGCTGCAACAGCTGCTCAGTGAAGGAGCCAAGCCCTGTAAGAAGCCCTATAGAAGGAAGTTTGGGGAGAAATAGCAAGAGGATGTGTGTGCAGGGGGGAGGATTGGGTTACAAGGAGTTTTGAAAATGTGCAAACTTTTTGGGTGGGTCCATGTAGGGTCTGGCAAATTCCTTCCTCTATGCTGTAGGATTGGGATTAAAATTGCATGCACCTGTGAACCCTGTTACATCTGTCATGTATTAGAGACAAGTGCTTTCTAGGCTGGTGGGATCTCTCTAGTGACAGCATTGGGCACAGAGAGGGGATCACCTATCTGCCCACCCAGTTCCTGACAGGCAGCGCTCCAGACGGCACCCTGAGCATGAGACTGGTAGTGGGAGCAGAAACCCAGACTTGATGATAAAGGCAGGTCTCGCACCCTCACAGTGCTGCTCTCTGTCCTGTATGTGAAACAGAAATGAAACCCCTTCACTCTGCTCAGGGGTCTTATGGTGAATTAATGAATGACTGAACAGGATTGGAAGGTGCAAAGTGCTGAGCGTGATGTGTTAACACAAACGCTTTGTTCCATTTTCACTGGCAGTGGTTAGGTCGGTCTCACTTCTGCTTCTTGAGACTTGAAGGCAGGCTCTGTGGGTTGCTGTAACATAACCCCCCTGCTGCAGGACATTTGGGTCTGTGTAGGCTGCTTACCGCACCTTGCAACACTGGACCATCTCCAGCACACTGAACAGCAATGTCCGGTCTCCAGTCTTCTCTGTGACCTTGCACAGCTTTCCCCTCTGCAGGGCTGGATTTAAGGCGCTACAGCCTGCCTGGGGGAAATCGCCAGAAAATCTGGCAAAACTGCAGACTCCCACTTCTGTGAAGACAGGCAAATAAGAAAGAGATGTTCTCTTGGCCTACTATCAGCTGCCTGCAGCTGCCCCTAACCTATAGGCATCACAATGGGAAAGCTGCTTAAGTACAATCCAGTGACTGTATACCTCACTGCACTGGATGGGGTGGAGCATATATCCCAAAAGGCTTGTACCATGTCAGCCTCCCCTGTACACATCAGCAAGCTGCTGGCAGCATTGAGTCTTGAGTTTCCATGTTTTAAACAGAGAAGTCCTATTTCCTATCAACGTGGAGATGAACAGCAATCCTGGGAAGGACCTGGCTATTCTAGTCTCCCAGTGGATATGTCCCGCTATACTATACGAACCCTTCTTGTTTGTGCCCAACATGGGAAGAGTATACAATGTGAATCCCACCTTGTTCTGGCAGAAATTTGCTGAAAGTGAAACTCCAGGTCTCACAGGGGTACAGGTCCACGAGTGTGAGTCCAAGGACACAGAGAGCATCCATGGGCTTGTTGTTCTTTAGGAAGTTCAGGATCCCATCTGGATAAACAGTAGAGAGAGGGTAAATATCAAATCAGCCTGGAAGACGAGGCAAGAGTCCCAGTTTCCACTGTGGTTTGGAAGGATGAAAATCCAAGCTAGCAGAGTTCCTTGCCCAGTCGTCTGTCTCCTCTACCCTGGGAACTTTCAGACTTTGCTTTCCTGGAGATGACGCTATGACACGCAATGAAACCAAAGGAGAGCTCTGGGGACAAAGAAGTGGATTCTTGTTGGGCCAGTGAGTGAATTCAATGCCAAGGCAGATGAAAGAAAGGATGCACTAGTTCTTGCTGCTGTGAGAACTTCCTTGTGGGTATTTCAGCCCTGACCTGTGATAGCAGCCTGACTCCAGTACTGCCTGCAGTATTAGGCAGCATGGTGGCTTTGCTAGTTTGGCAACCAAGAAGCCCATTTCACTTGGGACCAAAACGACATCTGAACCCCCACTTCCTAACGTGAGGCTAACAAATACCCACCCCACTTGCACTGCCCAGGCCATTTGTTTAGTTTGGCTTTCAGCAACAGATGGGGAAACATGGGCCAAAAGGTATTTTGTTCCCTTAGGGAGGACAGAGCAGATTTTATCTTGCAAAACTTAAATGAAATATCTCTGACAAATAAAAACAGGGGGAAAATATGATGTGAACTGCTGCCTTGTCTATTTTTTCTGTTGTTCTTTCCAGCCCCAAAGTTCTGGATTTTCCACTGGAACAGGATTTTTCCCTATTCACTTCCTTCCTCCTCCTGTTTGGGCAGGAGATGAATGCTCTGAAGTTTCCCAAGGGAGTGGGTGTGGGCCGAGAGGCCGTCAGGAGCCGGTGTGCCTGGCGGATCACTGCACGCTCTCCCCCATCCTTACCTGTGTGAAGCTGCACCCTGTCTGAGTCCTGGTTTTGTCGGTAGCAGCAGCGAATGGACGAGATGGGAATGGAAGGAAGGCACTTTACCCGAAGGCCCAGGAAGAAAGACTCAACACAGCTCCTAAGGGAATCCAGCAGTGATATCCCAGAAGACCCTTCAATGAGATCTAAGAACAAAAGCACCAGTGTCAAACCTTATAGCTAGAGAGAAGCTGAAATATCTGAAGGGACTTCTTTAGAGCTAATGGGAATGAGGTATGGGTGCAGCTGTATTTTTGGCTGCTTATCAAGGTTTGCCTGGGGGTGGGGAGAGATGGGTGTCTAGGAGAGGGTGCTTGCTCAGTAATCTTAGGTGCAGGTTCTTTGTGGCAGGCCTCTCAAAGCTTCACCCTACAGCTGTGGGTCCTGTGAGCATTTGAATGTAAATATATCAGAGGACACAGGGGACAGGACCCCTCAGGTTATGAGCTGCCTCCAGTGTCTCCCTTCCCTCCAGTTGTTGTCAGTGACCCATGGCTTTGAATCAAAGCTGGAAGCCAGCCCTGGCATCCCAGTATCTGATCATGGGAACACAAGGGCCTTGCTGTGGCATTGGCCATTTGCAGGCTTTGCTCTTGGATGGAAGAGTTAAGTAACCTGTCACTTCACTGCCGTGGCAGTAGCAGGGTGCTGGCCATGCCTTCACCTCCACTACTACTACCTGAAGCATGTTGTGGGCTCTTCTTGGCATTTCTGATTTTTAGGCTTTGTAGTAAGTTGAAAGTTTGGAGCAGATGGGTTTTAGGTGTCTTTGAGTAAGTAGTTGCTGCACACGATGGCCTGGGGAGCCCCTCCCAGCCGTGTGCTCATAAGAGGCTGAAAAGGAGGTTGTTGGTATTTATAAATTACCCCCACATCTCTTTAAAGATGTTCCCCCCTCTCCCCTCCTTGTGCAGGCACCTGCCTTACCAATAGGCTGCAGGTAAATGTGCTTTCGACAGAAACTCTGCTTCCTCCTCAGCATGGAGTGGTAGAAGGTTTCAAAGTCCTCGGGGGCATCTGGGTGGCTGAGGATCCAGTCAAAAGCTGTCCGGATAAGCAGGGTGCAGAAGATCGTCCTCTGGGGGTTGTAGGCTTCAGAGAGGAACAGCTTCTCTGCACTGGAGAAAGCTTTGGTGTAGAGCTCCTGCAGGGCAGGGTTGGTCGAGATGAGGGCATCCTTCAAAGCACGGGGCCCAAAGCTGAACTCCTGAGCATGTCTGCACTGCAGCATTGCAGATGGGGCCAGGGACTGTGATACTGCGTAGGAAGAGTGAATACAACCACCGTCTTTTAGACCTGTGAAGCACCTGCGACCCTTAACAGTTTGCTCTTGGGTAAGTTTGTGGTCTGGGCTGAAGTGCCGTTTCCCTCTGTTTACAGGAGTAGCTGATGATGTACCAGCAGATGATGCTCAAAGCAGGTAGCCTAGTTCCGGTGTTTTGTAACATGAATAATACATGTTGTGCACTGCCAATTGCTTCTCCTAGCACCTTTCTACCCCCACTCTTGACAATATTGACTCAGAGTATCTGCTGGAGACGATCTGAGCAAATGGACGTGGTGAATGACTTGTGTTCATTTGTTCTATCTGCCACCCTGGATTAACATCAAGAACTCTGGAGCTGATACAAAAAGGTAAACCTAGTGCAAATCAAAGCATCCAGCTGAAAGGAAATGCTGTTAGTGTCCTGGGAACAGCACCTCCAGGTTCCTTACTTGGAAAATCCCAGACTCGGGGATTAGGCATTTGACTACCATTACGACATAGGTTCCTCTGGAAGATCCCTGCTTGGGACTCTGGGGAAAGAAAGAGAGGGCTTCCAGCCTGGGTTTATGCTGAGCCTAGCACATGCTGGGATGGGACTAGGCCTCCAGTCTGTGCTATGGAAGTACTGTACCCATACAGAGCAAATGTGGGCCTTTCTCCTGGGTTTGCAGGGCCTTGTTTTTAAACAGCTCCCCATCATCTGACACACAACACAATGCAAGTCTTCAAAAAGAGGAGGGAACATTTCTTTGCCCTTCCTGTGTCTCTACTGTACCTGTTCCCTTCCCAGACTTGAGGAAGGGCACCTTAGGCACGTCTACACATCACCCTACGGCAACGGTGTTACTGTGCTGTGCTTTAGTACTTAAAAGGAAGTACAACAACACAGTAACCGCCTGTACTGCAGCACAGGGGTTGGTTTAGCCACGACTTCACCGTAGCAGTGCGTTAAAATGGGGGGAGCGCGCCATTACAGCCAAGTAGCTGCTGGTCATGTGTAGACTCACGTGATCACTATGTCACCGTAGCACGTCACTACTGTGACACAGAGCTACATGTAGACGTGCCTTTGTGTCTGGCTTGTCTACCAACTCTCCCAAATACACAGTTGATTCAATGAAAGATACTGTCAGAAGAAGCCTTGCTTCTCTCCCTTTACAGATGGCAATCCAAGCCTGTACATGGAGGCACTTTCCACTCTGCAATTACTATCCACAGAAGCCCCAAACAACCTACATTAGCAAAGCAAACACTTGTGGGTTAGCAGATATAGTGAGAGCTATGCCATACCCTGGTCCAGACTGGTCTAAAAGATCAGTCTGACTTCCTTGCACATGCTGGCCCTATTGCAGTAGATGAGAATCTGACCATTAGCTTCATGGAAGCCAAGATTTCACCCATTCAGTAATTTTGTAATAATCATACAAAACCATAATCCAAACACCAGTTTCTTAGTCACACTTAGCACCTACATGTAGAAACTATCAGCAATGTGAAAAGCATTAAGGGATCATGGATACCCACCCCCACCAAGGCAGGCAAGAGGAGACTGGAAAGATAGGGGGAGGGGGTTTCTAAGCGTCTTTGCTGTGGTCCTGGTTGAAACTAATCTTGGCAAGAAAGGTTTCAAGAAGCACAAACTACCTTTTATTAGTACTTCCCTGGTAAGTAAATCTAGTATTAGAGGCAGGGTCAAGGGGTGGTTGGGGAAGTTTTTTGTTGAAAAAAATGTTTTTTTTTTTTAAATCAACATGTCAAGAGAGAAGAGTTGTAGCATGTAACCATGAATACTACTGTGTGCACAGCCCTCTAGTGCAGCTACCTAGCTTCCTGTACAGGATATCGAGCATGCCGACAGCTGTGGGATACAGATATACAGCTTCTCAAAACTGTCCATACTGTGGGTAGTCTGCACAATGCCTGCTGTAGCAAACCTGATCAACCTCCTACTGAGAGACTTTCAAAGGGGTCTTGTGTTGACCACACACAACTCCAGAGAGGTTAGTATTGGCTGAAGGCACTTAGCATCTTGTGGGATCCAGTGCAGGAGTTCACTCATCCTATATCTGCCTGGTGTGATTCCTGTCTAGTTCTCCTGCATTCAATGTTTTTGCCTATAGCAGAATGGCAACAACCTGTTACATTGTGCAAAACCAGCCTGATTGTTTGCTTCCATTTCACAAGCTTTCCTAAAACACTTCACTAGAGAAAATTAATGGCTAGGAAAGGCTCTTGGGCACCTTAAGTTTAAAACAGAAGCTGGTTTACAACCTTAACTATAAGAAATGCATTTTGTGCCTGCTCTGATATCTGGACATGCTCTTTCACTAACTGAAGTGGTGCAAAAAGGGCTATGCAATCCTTTGCTTTTGTGTCAAGGAAACCTTAGCACAACTTTCAGATGTAATATCACAATGGGGGCCGGTTTGTGGACTCCAGCAGGCTCTTTTAATAAGAAAAAACTGAATAATAAAAGTAGCAATCACTGCATCCATGTTCCCACCTGCTCCCATGGAGCAACCTACCTTGGGGGTCTTTAAGAGGAGACTGGACAAGCACCTGGCTGGGGTCATCTGACCCCAGTGCTCTTTCCTGCCCAGGGTAGGGGGTCGGACTCAATGATCTACTGAGGTCCCTTCCGCCCCTAAAAATCTCTGACATCTGTGAACATCAGCAAACTGCAGAAAGGTAAAGGCAGTATGTGTGTGTGGGGGGGGGTATCTCCTCCTCCTCCCCACACTCTTCCCCAAAACTCCCCAAACCCTAAAATCCGCAGAGCAAGCGTGATCTGAAGTTCTGCAAAGTTTCCTAAGATTTACAGGAGAGATTAAGACATTTAAAGCCCTAGTCTGGTCACTCAACTTTTAGTGTATGGAGTAAATGATTTGTGCACTGAAGGTGTAGTATGCCAGTGTGCCCCCACAGCCCCTCAATGGATTTATGCATTCAGCATTTGGAAACCTGTAAAAAGGCTGTCCTCACCTTCTCCATCACACACAAGCACACGCTGTGTACAAGGTAGCACACACACCCCAAGACTTTGGCATCGGTCCTGCACTGCCCAAGGTAGCTGCAGAGGGCTTCAAGGACAAAGGCTTTGGGACTGGGGCCCTAGGGACCCGGTCTGCGCTGTCCTGTCTGGCTGAGGAAGTGCTGAGACAGTCCCCTTTGCAACTATTTTTACTGGGGAGTTCTGACGGCTTTTAACTTTTTCGCCAGAATTCCTCCTTTCAAAACGGAGCCGCCTCTTATCACACAGCAGAATACAGCCAATGCACTCCTCCCTGACAGCTCCACATAAAGGATTTCACATGCGATTCAGTTCCTTGTAAATTATTCCCTTTGTAAATCAGCTACCTACCAATGACTCCCTGTGACTGACAATTACCCATGAATTATTCTTTTTGTACTTCACGGTTGTGTCACTTATTCTGAGTTACATTGACGTTGGCCTGATAGCAATAGCATAATTACTGCCGACGTAACGTAGCCCACGTTGACTGGAATTTGGTGAGGAGAGGAGCCGCCCAGGGTGTGCAGAGGGTGTGCTGGTCCCAGGGGGAGAAAAGGGTGTGCAGATGCTCATCTGAATTGTTCAGTGCTTTAAAAAAACAACCTGGCCTTAAGCTGGGCGATGTCGTCTCTAACCGGCTAATCTTAAATTCTGTATGTCTTTGCGTGCAACCTTTTTCATGCAAACGGTGGGCTTCAGACCCTCAAGGAGGCCTATGGATTCTGTTTCTTCACCTCTGAACTTTTCTGAGATATTCAGAGACAGAGAGAGACATTAAACTGGGCGTTGTGTGTGTCTGAGGAACCGTAGCTGACTTTGTTAAAGCTGATTAATTGCTTGAATTAGATGCTGTCCTGTAAATAAGCAGTCATAGTGCAGAAAATTCATAGCCCGTCAGCCTAAATGAAAAGCCCCAAGTGCACATAACAAGCATTAGCTTGTCATGGAGAAATGCCCTAGCCAGTTAGTAGCTCTCTTCCCCAGATCTGCAAGCAGTGCTGCTTTCAGATCATCTTGTTAGCAGGATAAACAGGGATGCAAGGCTGAGGGCAATTTTCTCAATTTGTCCATTGATGTAGACTAAAGAAAGATTTTTCTTGACTAAGAGACTGAACTCATAATGTGGAAGAAAGTCGAGACCTGGGAGAGGGAGGGAAGGACGCTTGGATGTTGGGATGTTTAACCCCTGTGCAAACCAAATTCATATTTCTTTAAACCCATTTCCTCCAAGCGTGCGAGATCCATCTCTGCTGAAGGAGAAAATAGGCTGGACTTTGCTGCGTGTGGAGACCTACACAAGCCACCGTTCCCTGGAGCAACTGGATAAGTAAGGTCCAAGGTGGCAGTTGGTCAGGCTGGGTGCGTTTCATGCCATAAAGCTTAGGTCCTGTCACCACAAATGCCATCTGATTCTGCTCATCCTCATTTGTAATGCCTCCAGGAAATGTTTGTCACTGTGAAACGTGCTTCGTTTAGTCCCCCTGGCACGAGTCATTCCCAGCTCTGCGGAAACCTCCAGGGACTCGCAAACATATATGCGCTTATGGGTAAGGCATTTTACCCTTCAGTTTGTAGCTGTGATTGGTCTGTTGGCTTTATTACTGCCTGAAGGCCCAATCCTGCAAGCTTCTAGTCAGGTGAATCATTCTTATGCAGCAAGTTGGACTGAAGTCAGTCGGACAACTTGCAGAAATAAAGGCTGGCAAGGTTAGGGGTTAGTTTTTAAGGTAATTAGGTAGCTAGAGGCATGTTTGAAAGCACAAAGGTACCCAATCCCCTTTGATATTTTTTTTTTTTTAATATTGTCTGTACTGAAAAGCTGAAAAGGGTGGATTCCGACAAAGCTCAGCCTCACATGAATATCTATTCAGGACAACCATTTCCCTAATTTCATGCTTCTCTTCTAAGGGTTTTATATGATGCATGCCTTGTTATAACAATAGCTTGCTCTTTTAAGCAGATGTGGTTCTTCGGGTAGATCCGATATCTTTTATTAGACATTGGTCTGCCTATGTCGTTAGACCAACACGGCTACACCCCTGAAACATGGAAGATACTGTTCTATTAAAGCACCTGCCCTCTGACCATCTCAGTGTGATTTGCAGACCTTAATGAATTAAGTCCTGAATCTCTCCAGAAGGTAGGTTAAATGAAAAGTTGTTTGTTTGTCGCCGCTGCACAGAGCTGGACAATTTGCCACTAATAGATGCTATTTTCTGTGCCTATTTTGGCAAATGCAGGGAGGATGCAGCTGCCTTGTCCCTTCCACATTGCTGCAGGAGCTGCAGGGGTCTGACCACTCTCTAGAGAGGCGGCATCTTGCCACAAAATTCTCTGGAGACACCCCAAGTTCAAGCCACTACTCCTAGCTCGAGGCCCCTTGTTCACCTCCTCTCCAGGGGCCTTATGCTTTCTAAAGTGAAACTTTCAGAGCTGCCTAGATAGGTTTAAGAAGTGAAACTGCCCAGTAAAGCAATGCTGCAGTTGTAAGGCACAAGCCTCTGTGCAAATGTTTGCAGTGTCCTTTGAGCTCAGCCACTATTAGAGCAAAGAGACTTCGTTAGCCTTGGTAGTCTGAAGTCAAGTAGAAAGCAGGGTGCATTTCCAGCTTTTAGACTAGCTAAAGTGTGTGTGTGTGTGTGTGTGTGTGTGTGTGTACAAGTACATATGCATGGCTGAATGTAATTATATATAATGCTGCAAGTTGCATGTGTGCAAAATGCTTCAAAGTGTGTATGTGAATGTGCACATGCATGTGTGTGTAATATATATATATGCTGCAAGGTTGCAAAGTGTGTCTATGTGTGTGGGCCCCCTGCATGTGTGCGATATATCCTGCGAAGTGTCTGTGTGTGTATGTGAATGTGCACATGCACACGTGTGTGTAAAATATATATTAGATATATGCTGCAAGGCATGTGCATATATATCTAGGTGTGCGAGAGACGCAGCACCAGCCGGAGGGGTGAAGCTATGCAGCCTGTTTCTGGACCAGACTCCGTCTCCCACGAGCCCAAAGCCCCGGGCACCCCCGCACCTGCCTGGGGCTGCTTCTCCCCATGCTCCAGACGGGACAACCGAGGCCCACGGGCAAAGCGCTGCCCGCATCCCGCCGCGCCC